CAGTAGTATAATATTCAACAATATATTTCTACATTGACAAGTTTATGCAAGCAACATGTTTCTTTTCTCTGTCTCTCTTTCATTTCTCTCATTAACTCTTGTTAAATATTATCTGTTCATTAGCAATCACGAAAATGGGCGTCACATTTGACTGTGAAATAATATTCTACTATCGTATAGTGCATTACGTGTGACATCCAATATATCACGTTAGAAAAATCTCAACTCTCGTCAACAAAAGTTTTTTCATGTGGAATAATACTGAATGTAAAAACATTCTCTAGGTGAATTAATTGCTATCATGAAATTTTAATTGAATGTGGATATGACAATACATTAAAATTATCATTGTATTGGGTTATGAGTATATATGATTTCGAAATTATCATCATTATTATTATATGACATTGAGATTATTATCGCAACTTACTACCTGCTACGTTTCTCATTTAAAAGACACACAATATGAAATATCGCACTATCGTAATCGATTTTAATTTTAATGTCATTGTGTATAACAAAAACATTTTAATATTTTCAGTTGATTTTTTCAGTATTTTTTTTTTATTATTAACATTTCAACAGCAATCAAATGTGACAAAAGCAAATGATTTTAATCAAGATTTAACATGAAAATTGCATGCGATTAGAGAATTAAATAATTTTTTACATAAAATGACTTTACTTCCTTGGCTGAAGCGCACGTGGGCCCATTGCTGCGTTTAGAGAACTTCTAAAGACAGCTTTATCCTTCGACACTTCTGCCAGTTTAGGAGCAATAATGACTAATATTTTATATTTCGTAATTTTATTTCCTTCTTAATAATCGTTGTCCAAAAAGATGATTAAAATTAAATGACGTGCAGAAAAAGTGAAATTAACGAAGAAATTTAACTGTCATCCTGTAAATTTCAGAAAATTACCTACCATCATGACGACATGAAAAAAGGGCAAACAAACATTTTTAGTTCATAATTTTGAACGTAAAGTAAATAATTTCACGACATAAAAAACTGCTATAAATTATCATATTGACATGCAATATCAATATTAAGCAAATATACAATAGCAATTTAACATGATGAGTTGCCCACACACAACTGTACATTAATGTTTGTTGTAAAGTATGAAGGAAGAATTCAAAAAAAATAATAATGATTGAGTTCTCGCACACGAATTTTTGACTTCTTTAAGTGAACAAAGTTTTTTTTAAACTCTTAATGATTTGAATTTTTAAACTGATTTGAGATGCCGAAATATTAGTATTGATCAATACCTGATCCTGAAAATTTGTTTGATTTCAAGGTTTCAAATTTGCTGAAAGAAAATTTAATTTTAAATTGTACTTTTAGGATTCTTATCATTTAAACATAAAAATTTTAAAAATCTTTCATTGACAAATAAGTTATTCAAGTTTTAATTTTGGTCCCGGTACCAAAAATTTCGCAAAACCGGGAAATCAGGAAAGCCCAATCAATGCATAAAATGGTTCTTAAAGTAATAATTTTATTTTCTTGTAATGCTTGAAATCAAAAACAATGCTTCTAAAATTGTGAATCCTTAATTTTATCTTTCTTTAAAAAAAAGCAAGATGACATAAAAACACCTTTATGAGTAATATGTGACATGTACTTACATCGAGAAATTATGGCTGCAAATTCGATGACATTTTTGACGCTTTTCTGAAAAATCTAAAAACATTCTCGAAACTTTTACTTTCAACTTTGATTTAAATGTGAAGGTTGAAATGTAAAAAAAGAGGGAAATTGAGTAAACTTATGCTTTTTATGCGAATATCTTCATTAAATATTTATTATCCATTAATATTATATTTTTCACTTGATTCAAGTAAAAATACATTGTAAGGTGAAAATAACAAACGAATCAAAATTTATATATAGCGTATTTTTCAAAACTTGTTTTCTGAAAGGTACTTTAAAGTATCTAACTTACTTTGTTAGCCCCTGCTCAAGGGCAAACTGAGATCTCATCGACTAGACTCTAGAGATCGTAGAAAGTTCGGGTTTGTTTTATTAGCTCAGTTTTATTGAGTTATTAGTGGGTCGATCGAATAGTTTTAAATCGTGAATAAGTTGCTTTATGCTATAATTAATGATTTTTTGAATAACTCTTTAACTTCACAGATGTGAAAACTATTGAAATTTAAATTTCAGAAAACCGTAATTACAAACGCTTCTTTAAGCGTCGGAATTTGCTAAAGTCCCTCGATCAATAACACGAGGACTTTTGTAATTTTTTAGTAAAAAATATAAAAAATCAACAATACTTTAGAATAAGTTTTTTAATTTATTACCAATTAATTCGAAATTACCTAAATCCTGTTCATACACGACAAGTGTACAAAATCAAGAGAAAATTAGAATTGTTACAAATTAACATTCATTGCATTTCTACTTACAGTAGCGGCCAAAAGTATCCGGACAAACACAAAAACGTCTATAACTTTTGACTGGATGGTCCAATTTAATTCAAATTTTCACTGGAATACGTAAAATCGAATGACAATTAATAAAAATATTACTTTAATAACAAATCTTTAAAACCAAAAATTTTATTTTAAAAAAACTAAAAATTGAATGGACAAAAGTATCCGGACAAAATTAAAAGTTTAAGAAAAAAATACTCTTTACTAAGTAAATGGCTTATAATGGATAGAATTTTGAGTTCTTCTGTTTAGTACTTTGTTGGGAAGCCCTTAGCATCAATTACTGCTTGACATCGTCGCGGCATTAAGTCCACCAGCTTAATCAAAACATCTATTGAGATCTTTTCCCAAGCATCCTTGATTATTGTAAACAAAGCATTCTGATTTGTAGGTTTTCGACCTGAAATTTGTCTCTCTACATGTTCCCAAAGATGCTCAATCGGATTAAGATCCGGACTTTGAGATGGCCATTCCAAAACTCGGATCTTCTTGGTTTTAAAAAATTCCTTAACGACCTTCGATGTGTGTTTGGGATCGTTATCCTGCTGGAAAATCCAACCTCGAGGCATAACACGTTTGGCATGGGGAAGCATTACTCTGTTGATGATATCTTTATACATTTCCTTGTCCATAATACTAGTAACTCGATGAATCGGACCAACTCCATCACGACTAAAGCATCCCCACACCATAACGTTACCTCCACCATGTTTAATTGTCGGTAACTGATACTTAGGATCGTTTCTATGACCCTTTGGTCGTCTCACAAACTTGATTCCATCAGATCCAAACAACATAAACTTTGATTCGTCACTCCAAAGAACTTTTGACCATTGCTCACGAGTCCAATTAAGATGTTCCTTAGCAAATTTTATTTGGGCATTTCGATTCTTTACAGAAACAAACGGCTTTTTGACGGGACGTCGTCCAAACAATTCTGCATCATTCAATCGACGTTTAGTTGTTCTTGTACTCACTTGAACATTGTAATATTCCTTTATTTCTGCATTTAATGTTACCGCACTCTTACGCGGATCAGCTTTCGATGCATTAATTAAAGCCTTATCTTGTCTTGCAGTTGTCTTTCTGGGTCTTCCTGATTTCGGTAACACGTTATGATTATTTCTTTCTCTAAATTGTCGAACAACATCAGCTATTGTGGACTTTCCAGTGCCAAATTGACGTGCAATGTCTCTGTAATTTCGTCCTTGGTCTACAGCACTAATAATTGCTTTTTTAACTGGTGAACTCAAATATTTTTGAGTTGGCATGATGAATGTAAACAAAAATCACAAAATACTTAACAAAAAAGCATTCGTTCATTGTGAGAAAAGCATTTTAAACAAATTTCCGTCAAACTTTTAATTTTGTCCGGATACTTTTGTCCATTCAATTTTTAGTTTTTTTAAAATAAAATTTTTGGTTTTAAAGATTTGTTATTAAGGTAATATTTTTATTAATTGTCATTCGATTTTACGTATTCCAGTGAAAATTTGAGTTAAATTGGACCATCCAGTCAAAAGTTATAGACATTTTTGTGTTTGTCCGGATACTTTTGGCCGCTACTGTATGTGTGTTCTACAGATAAAAATCATTTCCATTTAAAACATAAGTAATGAATGAAAGAAAATGTGCAATAATAAAGTGAAGGAAAAATATAGCTGTTAATGTTGCACATGATTTATTTGATGGCATTTATGACTCGTTGACTTTAAAAAGAAGGGAAGACTGTAAAAAATGTCATTATTTCTTGTATAATAAACTTATAAAAGAGTTCCGCTGCTGTTTACAGAAAGCATCAACACTGTATCATTATTGAATCATTAAAAATGTTTCTTATGCGAAAACGGAAAGAGCAATTACATTGAATTGTTATTTTTTTTTTGTCATAACTTGAGACATTAAATTCAAAACCTTTGTGAAAGCAATGCGACATTTAAAACTCAGCAATTATATATGTTTTTAGGAAGTGCTCATATTCTGCAAATTAGTTTATGATGAAAATTATGTAGAAACATTTAAAAATAATTTTAAATTATTTTAAAATAAATTGCATAAACCTGTTAACCAGCACATGTTGATATTTATGTATAATCCGACTTTGTATCTTTCCCAAAAACTATCAAACTTTTGAAAAAAAAAAACATCAAAAAGAAGAAAATTTGAAATCTGAAAATAAAGAAAGTAAAGTTTTGGTAATGATTTAATAAATTTATTCATGATTTATTAAATTTTTTAACTGTAATTCTTATCTAAATTTAGCTATTTATGCTTGAATTATATTATTTATTTAAAATTACATATTTTATATTTCTAAGTATGATCTTTATTTTGCAACTTTAATATTATATATTTCCGAATATATACACATTTCAAATGTTATGATTCCTGTAAATATAATATCAAGAACTCAAAATCAAGAAAAGAAAAAAATTTGATTTAAAAAAAATTTTGGAATTCAATTTTAATCAAACAAATAAAAAAAATTTTAAATATAAGAAAAATAAATAATTAAAAACGAATAACAAAATAAAACAATGAAGAATAATTTCAACTTGGAATTAAAATTCAATACTGATAGAATAAATATGCTTATAGCACTTTAATGCAGATACATATTATAATTTATTATGTAAGGATTAAGTTGTACAATTTTTCCAGAATCAACAGTTATTAAACAAAAATTTTAAAATCAGAAATAAAACTGATCATCAAGATTGTTCCAAAATTATTATAATTTCTTGTCGGTGATTTAAATTAACAAACTATTCAAAAACTTTTCTTGCCCATGCCTGCATTAAGCCTCTTTTACTTCTTTTCCAAAAGTTTAACTATCAAAATTACATTTGTCAGTATTTACAGCATTTATTATTTACTGATCATTTAATTACTTGGAGAGTTTCGTGTTACAGTTGGGGAATCTTGTGACATAGAAACTGACTGACTTGTTGTTTGCGTATGTGAGGGTGTTGATGGTGGTAATTGATAAGGACTAAAACGTGATGCATAATGTTTTGATCGCATATCATGTGATGATGGTGACGGTGATCCTGAGCTATTAGGTGTAGCAGATTGAGGTGGAGGTGGTGGACTTCTGGCTTGTTGCTGAGCTACAGCTGCTGCCTGTTGAAGTGCTGCTTGATTATTTAAAAATCCGGCTGCTGCTGTTAATTGTGATGGCCATTGGCCTTGCCACAATCCAAGATTTAAAGCTGCTGCATTTATATTTGGTCGTTGAGCATACATTTGTGGTAAGAGCATTTCAGCATATGGTGAGCGTCCCCACATTTGAAGATGCTGTCGTGCCTTTTCTAATAACGCTGCACTGTCAGCATCTTGTGGCATAAATTGAGCCATCATTGGATCTGGAAACAGCCTTAATGGTGAGCGTAAATGTTGTTCCATAAGCAATACATCCATAGGATCCCTATTAAAGCAAGATAATAAAAGATAATTTGATGAAATTTGCATAATTTTATTAACAAAATTTTTTTAATGATTAGATTAGAATTATCTTTCAAATATTAACAACTCAATAGATCGAGTCAATCAATAAGTTTTATTGTGGTATAATTATTTGAAACGTTAGTCTCTTTTTACTCAAAAATGATTAAATTCAAAGAACCATGAGTTTAATAACACGCAAGCCCTCATTTCAGCAATTGTTGAAATAACTTAACGTACGCATTAAGCTTAATGATCACTCATTAAAAGATTAATCTACAAAACTTTGCAAAAATTTTTTTTTTTCATCAATTAAAAATGCATTTTGCTGACCTTCGATTCATCATCATTTCGATCTCATTTGTAATATCAAGACACATTAAGCTGCATTTGAGAATAGCAAGAGGAAGAAAAAAAATAAATATATATAAAAATTCAAAAATGTCAGCAAAAAAAGTCGCTTAAAATTCATTTCATTTCATTTTTTTTTTTATCATCAATAAGGAATCAAACGATGGACAGAAAGGAGGTAAAGTTATTTTCGCAAATTACCGGGGCCAAGTCGATTATAACCATCAAGCGCTTTGTAATTTTACTCTTCATCAAAAGAGAGAGAGGAAAAAAATTACTAGGTAATTTTGTAATGACGGACAATAACAGGTCATTGATTAAACCCTTACGAATTTTTTTGCCGAAAAGTACGAACGAAGTAACGAAGTTAAATTTGAAATTTTCATAAAAATCTTTATAAATGTACATGCATATTCAGAGCGCATAGTAAATTTAATCAAATACTCTTCACACCTTTTATTAGCCAACAATCAGAAATTGCACAATTTATGCTTCTCATATGCTTTTTTATTCATAATGAAGGTTGTAAATTTTCTTAGGTCATATATCATAACATCGTGAATGATAGTGGGGTTGTGAAATGAAAGTGCACTACACATTTTAGTTCTCATGCACTTGGCAGGAGGTGAAGAATGTGTTGTGGTCATTGAATGCATTGTATTAGGTGCATATACAAATGATTTTTTATACATAAACTTTCAATCAAAACGTGAGAGAGGAGAACATGAAGAGAAAAGGAGTGAAAGAAAAAAATTAAAATCAAATTAACGCTACATTAATCATTATTATGACTACTTGTTTACAATGAATGAGTTGTTCACGCAATTTTAATTTTTCAATATACTTCCATGCATCGTGAGTTGATTTCTTCAACTGCAGTACTTTATAGATTTAATGCTTTTTTGATTTATTAACAAAACAAATACATATTTATAATTTTTTTTTCCTATGCAGCTTAATAAATTATGTAAATAACTCCAAATGGTAGCTCAGCTATGAATTAAAAAATACATGAAATTTCGTTTGCCACAACAATGTTATCCACATGAAAAAAAAACCTCTTACTCGCTGAAGTTTAATTAAATTAAATTACATCATCAACAAACAATCAACAACTGTAAATTCATGCATTTCCCGCACAGTTGTATTTTTATATGCATATGCTCCAAAACATTTGTGAATAAATAAATTCAGCATCAGTAACTGGCAATTTTTTTTCCATTTCTTTTTTCTCCTGTTCAGCGTTCAAAGTGCAACGAGAAGAAAAATTGTTGTATGAGATGAAAATTAAAATTAAAATGTTCCAATGGCTGCACGGTGTTGAGTTTGCGTGTTATCACTATGATTCTCTTTCTCTCATAGTCTTTCACACAGCTGATGTGGAAAGAAGAGAAGAAGGAAATTTTTCAAATGAAAAGACTTATTTGGAGAAAGCTGTGCAAACAAAAATTTGGAACATAAAATATAAAGACTTCTTTAAAAATACTAAGTGCACTTTCTAACAATGTAATTTAACTTTCAAATTTGAATCGAAACTCATTATAACAATTATTTATATCGAATAGCTAATTCTGATATTTCTTAGATTCTTTGATTTTTTCATATAAATTGGACAGGAAAAAATCAATAACGTTACATTTTTCTACTCAATATGCAGACAGAAAAAAAAACTTAAGGAAGTGAAAACTTACAACATCTCGTATCTGGAATAATTTCCATTGCAAATGAAGTCTCAAAAGCATAGCAGTTGCTTGTAATGAATATCTTCTTTTGCATAATTAAAAAAAATTTGCTCGATTTTCATTTCTTTTATCTTTTACCGAAATGTGTGTTCTTTGAACCTATAATGATTTCACTATGCTGGTTGATTTTAATTTAGTCAATATAATAGGCTATTGATGTAGTGTGAAAAGAGGCTGGTTGAAAATTTTAACTTAATTACAGAGCGCTGACACAAGAATACAAAAACTGTGTGGATGAAGACGAAGAGATAAAATTGGAACGACGTTTAATGCTTAAATCAAGGATGAAGAAAAGAAGCAAGAGAAAATAAAAATGAGAATCGCAGTTTAATCAATGAGATCACGTTGTAGTCATTAATTTCAGTAATTTGTTAACGGAATTGAATATTTTAACTTGCGGTGCAGTTTGAATACAATTAAATTGAAATTTAGGAGTTCTTTGATGGTCCAGTTTTCATAGATTATGACTTGTAAGTTAATAAAGGTGTTATTAATTTTTTTTTAGCTAATGTACTTTTATAAGATTCACAAAAAATCAGTGAACATTAATTTTCACAAAATGTGTACTTAATCAACTCTTATTAGTGACATCAGACACCCATAGTACTGCGTAGCAAATTGAGAGTGTGTAAAAGAGTTAACATCATTTACAGCCAATCACTTTCAATCAACAGATCAATTAAATTGCCTATTCATGTAATTACAAGGCGCCTCTCGTAACATCTATTGTTATATGTATACCATAAGTTTTTTAATATATGGATATATATAAAAGGAAAAATGCCGCACAAAGAGAGTTAAATCAAATTATTATTGAAGGCACCTAATTTATTTTTGATGTTTTAAGACAGTTTCATTTTACGGTACGAAGTAGACACAAGAAGTGTGAAAGAGAGAAAAAATAGCGACAAATTATGAATCTTTTCATCAACCTATTATTGCTGATCGTCTATTCTACACTCATCATATAACTTTTTTTGTTCTTAATTCTTTTGTAATCATCATCAAAATTCATCAACAACTGCCGTCAACTCTTCATCTTCATCATGATTGCTTTCAACTGAATATTTGTAGCTGTGGCAACTTGTTGATGAATTCTTTTTCTGTGTTCATCGCCGACTCCTCTTATTCAACTTGCTTTTATTTGCCCTCCTATTTTTCATTCTTCATTAAGTTAGAATAATTTTGGAGTTTACGATACATATAGGATATACTTCGATGTGAAATGATTTGTAGACGAAATGAATTCAATGCACTTATCACAAACTTACCTGTCGAAATCAGTGAGTCTCGATGAATCCCTAAAGCCTTTTGCAAATGGATTTGAGTCAATTTTCAGTTTGGTAATTAATTGATTCTGATATGCAGTTACAGCGGTAAATACGGTTTCAGGAAATACGTATGTTTTGTGATCTAAATCAGCAAGCTCTTTCGGTGTCGTTGGAATATTTTGACCAGGTAATAAACGCACCAAATGAATTCTCGGTTGATATCGATGCATTGAGTTTAGTACAATCTGAAATTAGAGAAAATAATTAGTTCAACTTGTAGATTCATTTCACAAAACACAAGAATCACGAATTCGCCAAAATCTTCAATAGCTCCAAAAACTTTCAATGATTTTATCACAACTCAAAATGTAGGTAAAATTTAAAAACAGTATTGTAATAAATAGCTAGACTGACCATCTGCATGGTTTTTCAGAGGACAGTCCTCTATTTTTTCTCATTGTTCAAAAATAAAATAGTTTTGTGATTCGTCCATAAAACGAATAAAATTTGTAGACACTTGGTACATTTTCTATTCTACTTTCACGTCTTCTATTTTTTCAAAAAATATCTGGTCACCCTTTGTATAACCACAAAACCAATTTACACGCTTCATATTTACAACTTAAAACAAAAGAAAGATTGTTTTGGCTAAAACCATTCACATCAATGAAAAGAGAAATGAACTGTAGATTTATGAAGGAAATGAACATAAGAATTTTTTTTTTCTTACAAACCTTGCTTTTAGCTATGCGAAAAAATGAGTTCAACAAGAAAAAAATGATTTATTGCTCTTAATTGCTTATTGGATTTTGAGGAAAGCTTTTATGTGAATGTGAAAAAACACACCAAATGTGAATATGATAGACATAATTATTATATATTATAATTCTGTTTTTACATCTTTGTATTAGTGAAAGTAACTTTTGACGTTTATTTGTATTTAGTCATTAGTGCATTCAAAACATTCGCTTTAAGATTTGAAAAAATGACGTGAAAGAAGAGTCGTAAATTTCAAGATTTTCACAATAAGACCCATAAAATAAATAAACAGTCAAGCATAAATATCAATACGCGCATGACAATTTTTTGTCACATAAATAAATATTCATCCATTTCCATTTTCCGATAAAACACTGTAAATATACATTCCTTCCCTTTTTCTCATTTTCTCCTCGATAAAAGCTTTATGGCATTTTTTTTTCTTGTCTTTTTATTGATTTATTTTTTCTTTCAGTGTAAAGCTTAGAAATAGCTAATAAAATAAATGTTTCAATTTCTAACCTGTCCGTTTTTGTCCATTTCATTATTTGTGAGTTTAACTTTTTCAAATGATATCACTTGTTTTCTTAAAGCATCAGCGCTAACAGGTGTATCAGGATGTGAATAAAGTCTTGGTGGTGGTGGTGGATCTGCTTTTCCCGCAACGAGCCATGATGATCGATGATATGCGTAACGATAACGACGACTATCGACAGCCACTATATCTATTAACACAGAATACCTATCGGAAGATTGACCACGTAGTGGCCCTGAAAATGACACTCTAACCGTTGGAAACATTCGCCTGTAAAATAAAATTTCATGAATACAATTATTTATACAAAAAGGTGCTCAAAGTAAACAAATTTTTATTTTGATGATTTTCGCAAATCCTCACTTCATCCGTGATAATTTTTATGATAATTTTAAGCTCGAAAATTCTTTTTGTTCTGATTGCTCATAGACATTTATTGCTCTATGACGTGACAAAAATCAACCTCGATTGCCACAACAACTATCCATTTATATATATATTCCATATCCACATGCGAGAATAATTAAATGTTGAGTATAAGTAAGTAATTTATGCGCTTGATAAAAAAAACTGTTTGTGAGTTGTTGAAATTTTTCATACATTTTGGAAGCCACGAAATGAAAATGTGTTAAAACGAGTAAGTAAGTTAATAAGAATAAGAAGCAAAAAACTAGAAAAGTTTCCATAATGCCACACTTTATGACTTGTTTGCACATTAAAAAACGTAGAAAAAAATTCTTATAAATGTGGTGATATCAAATAATTTTCGGAAGGGAGACGAAAGGAATAAAAAAATCAACTCGTCGACACTAATTTCGCTTTCTTTTATTATTATATCGAGCTGTGGAAGTAAGTTAAAAGGCACAACAGAATATTTTATTACTGAAATACCTCATTTGAATTAAGAAGAGAAAAAAATATAAAACTTCTTGAGCATTAGCATAACAACAACAGTATATAAAAATTGGTATTAATAGGTACTGAAAACACAACGTGGTTAAGCTTTAGCTGCTACCCCATTTTCATTTTTATTGTATTATGTGCTATCAGCAAGCCTTTCACGAACTACTGCACACACAGCGTATTTGTTAAAATACAAGTATATTCATAGTAGATTTTATTCCATTATGGAAGTTTGTTCTAAGAACAACCATTAAGCTGAAATTGTGTGTGTATGTGTGTGAATAGAATACATTGAATGAAGCAAGCTTTAATTAGGTGAGAAACAAATTTCTTTAATTTTTCCCTCACATGAAACACGAATGAATATTTTCTATAGCAACATTAGCATTAGCTTTTTTACAAAATAAGTATTGTAAAACAAAAGTTTGAGAATTTGTAGTATCGGTATATTTACACAGAGAATTTTAATTATATAGGACAGAAAAAATCCTATCGATTAATTAAACTATTTTTTTTTTTTTAGTTTTCATCTCGTGAACTTAACTCATTTATAATACTCACTCAAATTATTCAATATTTATGTATATTCATTGCTGATAAAGCGCAGAGTAGAAAACAACAGCGAACTTTTTTGTTTGTAATGCTTAAGTTGACAGTTACTTCCTGCTATTTACAAATGCTTTTTATATTACTTCAATATTTCGCTCATTTTTATTGCCATATTTTTCTTTAATAGTTCTCGTTTTGATGACTTGAACTCTCAAGAAAACTTATATGTGTGTAAATTGTGTTCATGGTTTTTATTTTAGTTTTTTTTTGTGGATAAATAGCGTGCTTGATAAGCTTGATACATAAATTTCTGAATGATTGCAATTAAATTTCTTTCACAAAATAATTTAAAACGACAGTTGGATTATTGAAATTTCCAAATAAAATAACTTAACATTGAATTTTTTGCCTCCAAAAATTGAATTTACATTTTTTTAAAAGGAAACGTCAAATAAATGTTTAATGCCATAAAAATGAATTTGAATGCACCAAAACTTTTATTTCATTCAACGCGTATTTATTTATTTATTTATTCTTTCGTTCATGAAAGAACAAAAATTCTTTCAAAGGTTGTAACTTTTTATGCATTCTCAAATAAAAAGCAGTAGCAAGGAGTTGAGGAAATCATAATTAAAATCGATTGAACGGGCTTGTCACTAACATATCAGCGACTCATGTTTTAAGTTCTTTAATATTTAAAATTTTAGCCTTTGAAGAATTTTACATGACTTTAATATTGAAATTAAATTGTTTAAAGGAAGAATGAGAAAAAAAGAGAAAGAATAATGAAATTAACAAAATCATGCTTAAAATGAATGAAAATTAAAAGAAGCATCCGTTCTTTTCAACAACAAATATCAAAAAAAAATAAGCAATTTAAAAATCATGTTGATTCTTATTTCCAGTTAATGTCATTTCTACATCATTAGCACTTAAATTAAAGTGATACGATCGTTGTACTAAATATACACACATTTTGGTAATTCGTTAAGAAAAGGATATTGTGAAATTGCATTATTATAATTCAAATGGTTATATGAGACTTCAATCAAATAAATTATCGCAAATGAGCGCGCCAAAAAATAATTGTGTTGAATATGTTGTTATGTATGTTGCATATTAAGATTTAATAAAATAGTTTTATGTGGTCAAGCCTAATGAAAAAATTACAGAATTTTAAAGAAGTCAAGAAAAGGTCATGGAGATAATAATGAATTAAAACACATTTACATAATGACACGTAATCGACCAATCATTAATTTTTCTGTGTTAATTTCATAACTATAGTTGTGAGTAAATGCATATAAACATTTATGATATGTAATGATCATCACATATAATATGTGAATGGAATGATATTCTCATGTATATGAGTGGAGAAAATTGGTGGTCAGTGGAATGACGGTTGATGTTAAAGAAAGTGTCAAGTCATATAGTCATTCTACACTTTTACACAAACATGTGCGTATTAAATATAAATAAAGAGAACGTAAATGATAATTTTATGATAATTCCTTTCAATTTCGTCTCTCTTTCGTTTTTTTAATCTTAATTTATTTTCACAGTAGAAATGTGCGTAATGTTTTCAATGTTCCTTAATGCTTACAACATATATGGCGTGGAAACAACATAATTATTATTTATATTTTAATTCTCCACCTCGAAAAAAAAATTATTTTATTACCCATCTCATTCATATATTGCTTGATTCTTCATTCTTTTTATATTTAAAGAAATTAATTTATTCTTTCATAAATAATTTTCACATCATAATTTTCTATCTTATTTCCTTTTCTTTCCCTTTCTCATTTTTGTGCTGACTTTACAAAAATAAAATATTATAAAATTATGCGGTTTTAGGTAAATTAAAAATTGTTAAAAATATGAAATTATTATTATTGTTGAAAAAATTATCGCGCTAATAGAAATACAAAACATAAATTTTTCAAATGTCTACACTAAAAAGTTATTGAGTCATTTCCTTTTACCTTAATTTATTTTTTTGGAAGTTGTTAAACGACTTGAGAATTTGCAGAGTAGTTTACAGAGAAGTATTGTACAAGCAGCTCTCAATTTTCTTGCTAACATTTGCTAGTATGTTGAATTACAATCCAACCTGATGGTTCAATAAAATTAAATTTGTGAGGAGATGTCGTAGAAATCAATAATTCATACATGACTTTCATAAAAATTATATAAAGTAATTTAAATTCAACACGATAAATTTTTTCAAAAAATTTATCTCGTACATTTAACATTCATCTTCTCATCTTTTCAAAACATGATCAACAACAATAAAGCGATTAATCAAAACAGCAAAATAAAATTAAAATGCTTGCAAATTTATGCAGTGTGAAATGATCATTCAAAGCTTAATTTAACAGTAAAAATGCGTTATTGTTGATGCAGTACAGTAATAATACAGGAAATTTAAGACGAAGAAATTAAAATGAAATGAGAATTCAACTTTGGAGGCATGAGATGAAGTTTCCATAAAATGCATTACTAATCATGATTGCAAATAAGATAAAATGGAAATAAAAAATAATTTTTTTAAGCTGTTGAATTGTAAAATTATATGTTGACGTTGCTGTTATTACATCATTACGTGTAGATAACTCGGGTCGCAAATGTTGATATCTGCAAACATTCGCGTTGAAATTTTTTATTGATTTGATCGCAATCGCAAGCACAAACGATAACAAAATGTTTAATGAGCATTGGGTATTAAAAAATACCACAACTTAGTCAATAAAATGAAATGTGTATGCAAATTGGAAATTGGTAATAAAAAACGTTAAAATTTGAATCAATAAATAATCGCAAAATTAATGAAATTTCATCACTGGTCCTGATTCTTTCTGAAGCCGCTAAATGGTCTGTATTTTACTGACATAATCATAATGATTATTGTCATGAGGCAATTCGCCAAAATAGCAACAAAAACTAGAAACAATCAATACGTGTTAATTTATTTTCCGATTTATATTTTTCATCAATTCATTAAACAACGCCATAAATTTTATATTACAAAATATATTTTAAACTATACATGTTTTAATTATAAGATTTCTAACGCGGTTTTCATCAATTCTCTATAATGTATGTATGATTCTTTCTTGATCAAAGATAAATACAGTTTAATTTCACATCAAAATAAATTAAGTAATAGCTACCGGAATTAATCTATTCAATTTTCAGTGAAAGAATCACCAAATATAAGGAAAATCGCGCTAAATCTCATATCGCGACAAAACCAAGTATTTAATCCTCAATCATCTCACAACCATTTGAATTTCTTTTTATTTCTTTCCGAATAAATTTCCATAATTTTGTTGATGATTTTTTGTGCGTAAAATTCCAACACCTCTTTTCAATAGGAGCGAAGAGCAGCAATCTTGTTAATTAACATGAGAAAATAACAAATCGTTATAGGAGTCGTTTTGATTAAAGAAATATCCATATTATATGAATATAATATGATAATTATATTCAGTTAATTCCAAAAAATGTGTGGTGGCTTCCAAACACAACACTGCATGAAATTTTACATTCATATCTAATAAGGCGATAAATGAATTGCTCAGGAATGTTATGGCTGGTTCGTTTTTTTATGAAAATATTTTCTCAATTTTTATAATCATCGACTTAGTCAACCGGCCACTTAAGATTACTCATTTTATATTGTGATAGTTTTCTCGCTTCATATTGATATGGGTTGAAATTCTCCGGAAAGTTGAACTATAAAAGCAGATTATTTATTGTTATATATTGTCAATAAATACGCTCAAAACTATCATAAATGTCATAATTTTTTT